TAGAAGATCAGAGATTGACAACAAGAAATGCTACAGAGAGGCTGAGAAATGAAAGCGGCAAGGTGCCCTCCGGATTTGGCAATTTAGAGAGTTACTGTTACAGGTAGACTGTAGGAGAGCTGCAGGTGTCCTGTTTGGGGAAACTACAAAGTTAAGCAACCAATGTTTAGTTTACCACGCAGTGAGCTTCTAGGCTTTGAATTTTGCGTTAAATTCTCAGTGCGTTGCCTACACTGGTGCTCCTCAAGAAGTTCTAATCTGTGGTCTGTAGGCAACCTGCGTTAGAATCACTTGGGACTCTTGCTAAAAATGAGATTCTTGGGGCCCACCGTAGATCTGCCAAATTAGAATCTGTAATTTCCGTGTATTTTAATCAGCGTGAACAGGCTTTAAGGTTTGAGAGCCCTTGTTTTTTTTGTATAGGCAATCCTGAGTAATAGCAAATCAAAGCCACCTAAAGTTCTTAGGCTCTAAGTCCGCAAGGACCAATGTTTCAAGGATGTGAAACCAGGAGAACTTGTCAGTCACTGCAAATGAGAGCATCAGTTCTTCAGGCACTTTGGAAATCTAGACAAGTCAGAGTTGCACCTGCCCTCGCACGCAGCAATTGTACCTCTAGCTCCAGCTGCAGGGAGATGTACCAGAATGTCATAGCACGTTGCAGATAACATATTGGTTATAGCTTGAGTGGCCAGCAAAAGGAGCCTGGGTATGTAATTTTTAATATACTCATTATTTGAGTGATTGAATACTATAGTACAGGGGTCTCCAACCCATGGGCGTGGTCCATTAAGAACTGGGCCACACAACAGGAGGTGAGCGGCAGGTGAGCGAGGGACGCTTCATCTCCCAGTCACCGTCGCTTGCATTACTCCCTGAACCGTCACCCGCTTCCTGCCCGCCCCCCTCCATCCACGGAAAAATTGTCTTCCACGAAACCGGTCCCTGGTGCCGAAAAGGTTGGGGAGCACTGCTATAGTATATATACTATACTCTAATATGGTATCGTATACTATAGTAATTGAATACTATTCAGTGAGAAATGGAAGAATTAGAGCTATCTGTGTCCATATGCGTGAATAATAGAAATAAAGTATTGAGCCAAGAAAGCAGGTAGCAGAAGAGGATGTATATACCATCTTGCCATTTGCATATTGTTTTTAAAAACCTACAAAAGAGAAGCACCAGTCAGGGGGTGGGGAGGGGGAAAGTTATAAGGAAGGGGATACACGTGGGGCTCGAACCATGTGTTATGAAGCTCCCTGAGTTGGGTGGGCACAAGGATGTTCGTGATAGTACACTTCACTTCTTTCTATGTGTCCAGAATATTTCATGGTACATTTCTTTTAGAGAACTGATAAACAACCAGGGTATTATTTTAATCACCCTCAGGCAAGTAAGTGCTTTATTAGATAAAAGCTACATTTTTTTCTCTTTCTCCTTGGTGTTGAAATGCTTACCTTGGTCATATTACATCTCTGTTGTAAGTAGTTACCCAAGTCATTCTTAGTCCTGTGGTGTTATCTGAGCTGCACCCAGTTAACTTCTGCGCCGGTGTCCGAGTCTCATGCTGTCTCCTCCCCTGCAGGTATTCACGACACTGTCGGTGACCAAGCGCTCGGGGGAGAACATCCTCCAGACCGGTTGCTGAGGTTAAGCCCCAGTGTGGGTGCTGCTGCCAGGACTCCGAACCACTGACGTATTTCTTGCCCAAGTCCAAGGCGAAGTTTGCGGAAGGCTCTCGGGCTTCAGCAGCCACGTGTCCTGTGCTTAGAGCCCCGAGGCCCCCTTGGATCTCATGGGCCGGAGGTGACGCGTGGGTGGCAGGCAGCATCGCACTGGGGTCAGCATGATGCACTCGAAACTGGCTTTCGGCAGAGCTTCGCAGAGGGGCGTCCATGAAGTCACCAGCCTCAAGCCCGCGCGGTGGGTGGTGATGGAACCGTCGAAGCAGTTTTTGCATGGCCTTTCCTTTGTAGGTTTTCTTATTCTCACTGTCAACCTTTCTCAGGTTGGTTATTTTTTTCTCCGCCGTGTTAGTGAAAGTAGAGATGATAGCAGACAATTTTTATCCAAAAGCAAGTCGTGGCCACCATGTGCAAATAAGGTGGCTCGTTGCTGGGACGGCACACTGTGGCTCCTAGGCTTGTCCCGGGGAGAGAGCATCTCCCCAAAACAAGTGGTCACCACTGGCCAGGTGTGCTCCCAGGCACTATACCACTGATGATGAAATGGCTACCTGGCCAGTGTGTTAGGAGGAATATTCCAACGCAGGGAACTTGGTCGTACAGCGTGATCTCTACTGTTCTTCATCATGGAGGCAGATGCACAGCTGAAATGGGGAAAAACAATAAATGTCTTTATTTAGTCCATTGTGTGCTGGTCTAAGTGAGCTGAGATCTTTTGCAATGGGAAACATTTAACGCTTGTTTAAAGACGTTTTGGGGGGTAGCTTTTGCTTTAAGCTAAAATCACAAAATACTACAGCTTTATTTTTCATGTGTGTTATGCATCTGTCCCTTCCTAAGAACTATATTCATAGGAGAAATGTCTTTCCACACTTAACAATTTAACTCTTGTGGTAATTACTTTTTAAAAGAAAGCTGTTAATCTCATAATTTATTATTTTTGAACACAGGTGGATGTGAAGGATTTTCATGTAAAAACCAAATGGTTTTGGCTTTTTCTGTTGACTGTACTTGGTGGAATTTGGGCAGAAGTGTTTCTGGTCCATTAGCATTCCAACTCGTATTATCACAAAGAGGTATTAACAGATTTCTGGCTAAATGTACTGATGACGGATCATATTTAGGCCGTTTTCCCACTACAGAAGTTGGATTTTAAACATGTTGTGGACGTCAGACCTCCCACCAGCAGTTCTTGAAGCTCCTTTCTCGTTTCTCCCCTCTGTGTGTGTGTCTCGGCTACAGCACTGAGTGGTTGATTTAAAGTACGTTTCTCAGTTACCTCAGGGAACTCAGCGTCTGCCCAGCATTTAGTCAGTAGATCCCCTGACCCTGTCTGCCTCACAGCCCTGCCTCACACTCCATCCCATCTGGTTGTGTGGAGACAATGGGAAAAGGAAAAGGGGAGGGGAATTGCGACAGCTGACTGTGTTCAGTTTTCTTTCTTTATTTTTGAATTTGTTTTTTTCTCATTTGTTTTCTTCTCCAAGTCTGCCAATCTCTGAAATTAGAACATTAGGCAGTACAGGGTGATCGTGCCTAATCATGTTGTGATTCTGTCTTCTTTGTGGAATAGAATGTTCTGCCCCCACGAGAAGGATTCTACTTTATAGACTTGTCTGCGTAATTGCCCAGTATATCAGAACTCGTATTAAATTCCGTGTATTTTTGTTACAAATCTTCTGAAAAGAAACAATGTGAAACCTTAAAAGCTGTTAATATCCACCCTATGTGGCTCTTCTTGAATGGTGGTCTTGGGACTGTTCAGCTGACAGCCAAATGGACTTCAGGGCTCCTATTGGCGATCGTGAGAACTAGGTGCTGAGTAAGTTTCATCGATGCTGTACTGCAGGGCGTGGTGGGTGTGCTGAGGTTCACATTTTAGCCGTGTTGGCATTCCAGATTCCATTTTTCAGCTTATCCCCACTTGATCTGTCCATCTTAGTTTTTAAGGTGGCAAAACTGCCCCACCTGACAACAGCACTGTGAGGGTGCATGAGCCTTCCTTTCTCTCTGAACTGGATCGGGCACGTACCCGGGGTTCAGTAAGTGTTTACATTGATGTTTATTGTCATGCTCAGATTATTCACTCATACACACTTAATTTTCTGATGCATCAGTTGATGAGCAGAAACTCCTATCTTGCGGTAATCCTTAACAAAAACCTTCCCAAAGTTCCTCTCTGTCCTGAGTAACTGCAGAGTGCTAACAGTACCACTAAGTGCTTGTTACTGCAGCATGTACCAGGCACATAACAGCCCTCTCAGGAAGTTCCTGTGCCCGCTTACAGATGGAAGAGCAGGCTCAGAGGTAGGAATCCTTGCTCAGGGTTGCACAGCTAGTTAGTGGTATAGCACACTTTTGAAGCCAGAGAAGTCTGTGACTTCAAAGGCCCAGACCTCTCGACCACCTTGCAGTCTGCCTCATTCATCTCTGATGGGTGGGAGCTTTCATGAAGGGCGACTGAGCCGAAGCCTGGGGTCCCGTCGTGTTTTCACATGCCCTCGAGCAGTGTTGTCCGCCCAATTAACAAACACCTTGTCTGAGATGTTTAGTGCTTTTTCTAACTGGTTGTAACACTGCCGGTGTATTTCCACACTATTGCCAGGATCTTATTCCTCAGACTTCCCTTGCCCCGAGTCCTCAGGGTCTTCCAAAGCCCTGTAAATAGGCTCTGGGCCCTCTATCAGACCCTGGGCCAGTCACCTGCACCTCTGACCTCTGCCCCAAAGACACCGCTCCTAACCCCCCTGCGCTGGGTTGCCTCCAGCCAGAGCTCTTTCTACATGTACTCCACAGGCCTCTGTACTTTCTCTAGAGCACTTCAGGTTACCCTGCACGAGGCCACTTCTAGATAATTAGGGTTCTTTACCTCTGTGTGCTGCGTACCTTCCAGCACGAAGCCTACAAGTGCACTACGGAGGCACATAAAACTTTGTATAATTGGGTGGGCAGGTAGAGCCTTACCACTTGGATCAGTACCTATCAGAGATGACCACTTCAGGATACTGTTAATATCTCGTGTCAGGAACCTTTGATCCAAATGTTAATGAAAGTAGAAAGGGCATAAACATAAAAATGGCCAACCTCACTTGTTGAGGAAATACAATTAAACTGCTGTGAAATACCATTTCTGACCCATTCTGTGGCACAGTTTAGAGAGTCTGACCGTATCAAACGTTGGCAAAGATGTGGTGCAAATGGGACACATTTATTGCTGTGAGGAGTATAAATTGGTACAATCACTTTGGAAAATGATTTGACATGACCCAGTAAAGTCAAAATCCTGTGCATACTCTAGGTATGTACCCAGCACAGATGCACATCTATGCACCAAAAGACACGACACTGTTAGCAATAGCAAAAAACGAAACATGGAAACAACCCAAATATTCATCAGAACAAGAATGGACAGGTCAACTGCGGTGTATCCATACAACAGAAGACGAAGTAACAGCAAGATACATGTTACAAACAGTGGATCAATGAGTGAAAAAGTCAAAGGCATATATGTACAGTGTGATTCCATTATATACATAAACAGGCAAAACTAAGCAATGTGCATGTGTGTTTAGATGGACAGTTGGAGTAGAACCACAAGGGAAACAGAAATTCAAAATGAAGAACGTGGAGTTGGAGCTGGTGGTTACCTGTGAAGGGCCAGGGCAGAGGCTGGAGTCAGGAAGGGGCACCCAGGACCTAAAGGCTTCTCTCCTAACCCAAGTGGAGGACTTGTGCATTTGTTGCATCGTTATTTATGTTTGTTACAAATGTTCCTTTGTATCTACTCAGTAGTTCATTCAAATAGCTGTAAATAGCTGGGGAGTGGGCAGCTGGGAGTATTAGAATGCCCGGAGCAGGAATGTGTCCATCCAGGTCTCACACAGGAGCTAGGAGACCAGACTCTAAAGACAGAGAATACAGCAGGCCGCCTTTCCTGACCATCCATGAGTCCATCCTTGATATGAGGTCTGGGAATGAGCTAAACATGCACTAAGTTTGGGAGTAATTGTGACACAGCAATCGATAATGAATACGTGGGAGTTGGAGGGGTTGCACTGTTAACAAGCAGGCCAGGTCCTCTTTCCTTAAACCCAGTTTAAATCAGAGCACTCAACTTTTAACATTTCAAAAGATTTTATTTAGAAAAAGAAAAGAGCTTAAAAGATTTTTTATTTTTTTAAATTTGAAATTCACTTTAAGGAACCAAGGTTTTGCCTGCTGATGCCCTGTATCACTGATGCCGTACGTTGGCCTCTGGACACTCCTAAGAGTCTCTGGAGGAGGTGAGCAGAGCAGGGTTTTCTGGACCCCTTGGCTATCTCTGAGCTTGATCCCACCACTGCACAACCTTACTGCAGCTGTTCGTTTCTCAGGCGCTATTTCATAGGCTTTGAGATTGGCAAGGGAGGTCAGCTTCTCCAAGTCCGTCTACAGATGCAGAAACTGAGGGCTGGACAGGTGAAGCTGACTGATCAACATCAAGGTCAAGGTTAAACAGCTAAACACAGATCTGAGACCAGAAGCCATCTGGCTTCCAACTATGTGCTTTTCTACAACATGATACTACTTTGTTCCTGCCACCATCTCCTTTGTAAATTCTCCTACGTGCTTAAAAACACCGAGCCATGTAAGCACACTCTGATTGCTGTGAAGCTGAAGGGCATGGGAGCATGTGTTGACTCTGAAAAAGCCAATAGGTAGGTCCTTGGCCCTGTGGTCAGCACACAGTAGGTGTGCAGGAAATGCATGCAGACTGACCTGAAGGGAGGCATCAGAGCCCTCCGTGTTGGCTTTCCTGCGTGTGTGATGGGGACGCCTTCTTGTCTGTCAGGAAAATGAGGTAGAGCCTGCCTCGTAATTGCAAAAGCAGCACCTTGCAAGAGCAATTGCTAAAGGACTGATGAGACAAGAAACAAACTTCATGGCATGTGCTGTACATCAAGGCACAGTGGATACAGAGTGAATGAACACTGATGGTTAATTTATGTGTCAGCTTGACTGCATCACAGGGATGCCCAGATGGTTAAACATTATTTCTGAGTGTGTCTTGAGGATGTTTCTGAATGAAATTGCATTCATCAGTGGACTCAGTAAAATGGTTTGCCCTCCCCAATGTGGGTGGGCATCACCCAATCCATTGAGGGCCTTAATGAAAGGAATGAAGAATTTGGCTCTTTCTACTTGATTGCTTGAGCTGGAACATTGACCCTCGGCGGTCCTGGTTCTCAGACCTTTGGACTCAGACTGAACTACTACACCGCTTTCCTGATTCTCCATCTTGCAGAGATGGCAGATAGTGGGACTTGCAGCCTCCATATTTGCATGAGCCAATTCTTTATAATAAATGAATCCGTCTGTCTATCATCTATCTGTCTTCTACTGGTCCACTTTCTCTAG